AAAAAAAAAAAAAAAAAAAAAAAAAAAAAAAATTGCTGAATATGCTCAAGTTGTTTTGCTACATGCACGTACACACACGCGCACGCGCGCGCGAGCGCGCTCACACGGCGTGGGGGGGTGGTGAGACAGAGACAGAGACAGAACTTATCCCAAAAAGACCTAGACATTAAAATAAGAAAAGGTTTCTGCAGCACTGGGAAGGCAGCAGCAGGCAGATCTCTCTGTGTAGTTCTCCTGCAGCCAGGGCTAAGCTCAAAACAAAACAGATTCCAGCAGCCAAATAAGCTAACCAGGAAGGTCCCTTCCCTGGTGGGGGCTTGGTGTGCAATGGTTGCAAATAGCCTTTTGCCTAAGTGGTTGTCCAAAGGGAAGTTGGAAACACTTCTTTAGCAGCTATTCACGTCTGGCCTCAAAGCTGTCCTCAACCTAGGCCTCAGACAGGTGTGCAGGGTGCCTTTGGGAAGCCCCTGGACACAGTGGCCAGGGTTGACTTTGGCCAGGTCATCGTGTCCCTCTATGCCAAGCTGTAAGATAAGAAACGTGTGACTGAGGCTCTACATGGAGCTAAGTTCAAGTTCCTGGCAGCCAGAAGATCTGCATCTCAAGGAAGTGGGGCTTCCCTAGTGGTAATGCCGACGAATTTGGAGATGTGGTAGCTGAGAAGTGGCTTATCCTTGATGGCTGTAGGGTCAGATATATCCTCAATCGTGGTCCCCTGGACACCTGGCAGGCCCTGTACTCCTGAGGGTTTCCACTGTGTTCTAGACCCCACCAAATCATACGCAGTAGTAAATCTCCCCGGTTTGTTGAGGGTGGGGGTATGTTTTTGTAATGAGGCTTTAATGGCCTCTCCTTGCTGTCTTGGAACTCCTGAACTCAGCCTATCCTGGTGTTTCAATATCCCAAGCAGCTGGGAAGGGAAGTGTGCCCCTGAGCCTGGCCAGAGGTTTTATTTTAGTGTTAGTGAATTAAAACAGCCAACAGAGTCAGGCATGGTGGAGGAACGGCATTCTAAGCTAGCCTGGGCTAAATGTCACCTGGCCCTTTCCTCAAAAATAAATGAACAAATAGAGCATACCAAGTTCTATAAACATGTCCCTGTAGAGAATGTAAGGCTGATGATGAACTGTATTGCAAGGAAAAAAGAAATGGGGTTTCTTTTATCTTCATCCTGTTAACTTCAGTGGCTCCTGTGATCCCTGCTCAGCCTCCTCCTTTTCCAGTATTTCTTTGGTCTTTCTCGCTGGTGTAGATCTTTGTTTGTTTTGTTTTTCTTTTTTCTTTCTTTCTCTTTCCTTCTTTTTTTTGTTTTTGTTTTTGTTTTGTTTTTCAAGGCAGGGTTTCTCTGTGTAGCCCTGGCTGTCCTGGAACTCACTCTGAAGACCAGGCTGACCTAGAACTCAGAAATCTGCCTGGCTCTGCCTCCCAAGTGCTGGGTTTAAGGTGTGTGCCACCACTGCCCAACTGTTTTGTTTTTCTTGCCTTTTGTTCTTAAAACTTTCCCTAGTTCATGCCAGGAGAAACCCAGTCTTGAAAAACCTTAAAAAGCCGGGCAGTGGTGGCGTGCGCCTTTAATCCCAGCACTTGGGAGGCAGAGGCAGGCGGATTTCTGAGTTCGAGGGCAGCCTGGTCTACAGAGTGAGTTCAGGACAGCCAGGGCTACACAGAGAAACCCTGTCTCGAAAAACCAAAAAAAAAAAAAAAAAAAAAAAGAACTAGGGAGAGGTGTTTGTTTTTTTTCAGGTTTTTCTTTTTCTTTTCTTTTTTTTGTTTTTTTGTTTTTTGTTTTTTGTTTGTTTGTTTGTTTTTTTGGTTTTTCGAGACAGGGTTTCTCTGTGTTGCCCTGGCTGTCCTGAACTCATTCTGTAGACCAGGCTGGCCTCGAACTCAGAAATCCGCCTGCCTCTGCCTCCCAAGTGCTGGGATCAAAGGCGTGCGCCACCACCGCCCGGCTCTAGTTCAGATTTTTACAAAGGAAAATTCATTCCAATTTTTAAGTTTTGTACTTTATGTTTATGAATGTTTTTCAAGCCTGTCTGTCTGTGGGTCTTGTATGTGTCTGCTGCTGGTGGTGAAGAGAGGCATTTGATCCCCTGGGACGGGAGTTAGGGTGCTCCTGAGCCTCGTGAGTCACCTCAAGGCACAAACCACGGCCTCTGTGAGAGCAACCAGGGCTCTTAACCATGAAGCCATCTCTCCCCCATCTCTTTCTAACTTTACAGAAATTTATTCAACATCTACTGTTGGGTTTCAGATCTGGGACAAGGGGCTGAGATGCATACTTAACCACAGTGGACCTGGCACCACTCCCAGCATCCCTCAGGTGCTGCCTGTTACAGGGTACAGCTGGGACACTCAGCCCTCTGCCTGAACTTTCCAGCACAGGGGTGGGGCTTCTCCTTCCCAAGAAGCTCCTCCTATATAACCCAGACAGTTTGGTCTCCTCTTGCTTCCTGCCTTCTCTGCATTTTCTCTCTCCCTACTTGCTAACGTTTTTCTCTTTCTCTCCCCCTCCCCTCTGTCTCCCTCTCTATGGTGACTTCCCTAGTCTCATTCCTTGGGGTCAGTGAACCCATCTAAGAGCTGTCCCCCAATAAACCTGCCTTTATGTAGTCTAATTTGGCTGGGATTGGCTCATTTCATCAGCAGAGAATAATTTATCAGTCCACTATGGGCAAAGTGTTTGCTATTGACTCTTGAAATACAATCATGAATAAAAACTCTTGGCCCAGTAGGGCAAAAATCCCAGCTCTCAAGAGGCAAAACCAGGAGGATCTCTCTCTCTCTCTCTCTCTCTCTCTCTCTCTCTCTCTCTCTCTCTCCCCCTCCCTCCCGCCCCCCCATCTTTCTCTCTCTCTCTGTCTCTCTCCTTTTTTTTTTTTTTTCGAGACAGGGTTTCTCTGTGTAGCCCTGGCTGTCCTGGAACTCACTCTGTAGACCAGGCTAGCCTCAAACTCTCGAACTCAGAAATCCGCCTGCCTCTGCCTCCCAAGTGCTGGGATTAAAGGCCTGTGCCACCACTGCCCGGCTGTCTCT